ATGACTTGTATTGAAGTACTATATTTTATAGATTTTACTCATCCCATCAATTATCTACAATCCTTTGTTCTTCCTAATTTGCCTCGCCGCAATAATTACAATCCGATTTTGAATATTTTCACATAATTTTTAAATTAGTACAAGGTACAGGGTGGGTCAATTCAACAATTATGAAGGACTTCTCATATTTCTCGAGTAAACGAAAAGTACTCAAAACTTTCAGAAAAATTAAATTGCGAGAACGCTTCTTGATGATTTTCTTTTTTTGTAGATTTTTAAGCAGAATTAGTAAACGATTTTCCTTTAACTTGTGGTTTTTCAATCATAATGAAAACACAACATAATATGTTTGAATAGAATTCGTTAGATGTTTATTGATTTTTGCCCAAAAAACGCTTTGCAGACATACAGGATGTCCTAGAAAGGTTGGAACATCACTCGAATAATCCTGAGACCAAAATTAGTCGATTTAGACCAATTTACATATATATACAAGGTGCTCTTTTTCCGAGCTGTAGCGTTGAGATCTCGCTTTATCTTAAGAGTTACAAGGCTGGTCGAATTAGGGCAACGTTGCAGAAATTTACGATGAATAACTAAGCCAAGTCATTTCGCAAATATCAATGAAAACTTCAAAAAACATTATTTTTATTCGAAAACAGAAAGAGTGGGACTTTTTAAACTAGACGTTATTATACACATTCGTGGCGTCTACCAAGACGAAGAAATAACATGCAACGTTTTTCTTATGGGCCCATATTGGATTTTCACGATTTTAATTCGGCGAATTTTTCTAATTACGACAATGTGCCATATATAGTTTACTTCTTTGTTTTCGCCGATATATCAAATTACTGACTTGCAAAGAGTGCTATGAAAATAAAACATATAACTGATCCATCAAACGAAATTTTGACAGTTCAGTTAAATTTTCAGTGACAAAGTGAAAGTTTACCTAGAAGTCCAATTTTGAAATAAAGAAGACCGAGATATACTTCAAACACATCGATTAATTCATTTGAAAAATATCTGACTGTTATTTCATGTGAAAATTATATTTTTAATTAAGTATCTGAACTTTGACATTGCGACTAAAAGTTTAACTGAATAGTCAAACTTTCTTTCAAAGTAATGGGATATTTTCTTTCCAAAGCACTATGTAAAAATGGATATTTTGACGAAAAGAAAAATAGTAAATCATATGTGATGTATTAAAAAATGCAATATTGTAAATATCATATATTTTAATGGTTTTATAAAATGAAACGATATTTGACATTTACTCATTAATCTAGCTTAATATAGATATGAAATTTCTAAATTCAGGCTGTGTTCAGCGAATGGTCAGACTAGTTTGTTCAAACTTCTTTAGTCAAACAATTCGCTGAACGGTCTTTAGTAACTGTATTAAAACCTGCTCAATATTCCCAATCAGCTGATTGGGCTGACCAACGAAATATTTGTCCGCTAAACGACTTTGACCGGTCCGACCATTCGCTGAACACTGGCAAACATAAGTCTCCAGTCGAATTAGTTTCAACGTGAAAAAATTACTAGTAGACGGTAGACACTATTGCACTTTATAACGGGGAAGGGAAGGTAGAATGATATGAAAAAAGTAACGCTAAGTTGGCAAATTGCAAGTGACAAACTTACATTTTCTTCAGTGACCACGAAAATTTAGATGACCTATCGGAAAATTAAGTCATTTTATGTGGTAGACAATTAAATTTAACTAAAGTCATATTTCACCAATTCGTTGACTATAAAAAAAGGTCGCACACGAAAAAATCAATTTTCGAAAATTGATGAAATTTTTTTTTTGGCACCAATATTTGTGTGCCAAAGGCCGATTCGATTGACCGTGAAATTGTTGCTCCAGCTATTTGTTAAATAATTTCATTCGTTTTTTGCAATTGTTTAATTATTAAACGTTAATTTTAGAAGTTATATCGTGAATATAGGTTATAATTGATCCACAAAAACGTATCGAAAAAGAAAAATTTTAAAAAGTTGAAAATAAGTAGCCGTTTACAACTAATAGAGTAGGACGTGCAAAACATCGTTATAAACAAATTGTCCCCGGGTTATTCATCTTTAAGGATTTGAGCTTAAAAGACTTGAACAAGTTGTTATTTACGAACATATGCCAACTTTAAACGGCCATATCTTACTTAATTTTTATCCTACAGAAAAAAAAATCAAAAAAGCAAAACCTACAATATTTGAAGAAAATACAATTTTTTCCAAAAATATAAAAATTCTCTTTTCACTTCAAGCTGAGTAATTTTAAAAAGTTTTAGGAAAATCCATGCTTCCCATAATTATTTCGAAATAATGCATAATTTTAAGCTATCTTGACCACTATTTGGTTATTTCACGTTCAAACTTTCAATTTTGGCGTTTGACGAATAAGAACCAACCTTCAGTAAGCTATTACTCCGCTTGTATTGGGTTTACAGACACCATAAACACACCATTCTTTTAGTTTTTTTATAAGCTACATTTTTTATAAAATACTTCTTGAGTTATTCGCGAAAAACCATCTGACAGTGTTTTTTTTTTTTTTTGTTAAAAAATCTACACTTTCACTCGCGAATAATGGAACAAAAGTCGCTTACACGAAAACGAAAACTGTTTTAATCGCAGGGGCCTGAAGGTGTAATGACAACGAAACGTCGACAAAGTGTGTAAAGTGTTTTTTTGTTATACCTACCTACTCCCTNTTAAAAAATCTACACTTTCACTCGCGAATAATGGAACAAAAGTCGCTTAGAATTAGTCAATATATCCATTCCCGAAGTTATTCTCAATTAAACAGTTTTCACCCCCGAGGAGTGGCATCCACCGACCCCCGGCACAAGGTCAACTTTGAAGTAGAGGGTAAGTAGAACTTAAATCCAAATTTTCATGAAAATCGCTGCTGTTTGGCAAAATTATACGGGAAAATGGTCATTGACTGGACAATTAGGCAAAAGTCGCTAGGGAATTCGTTCTTTTTGCATTAAATAGAGCTTAATTTTACGGTAATTTTAAAAAAAGGAAATCACCTACGCTTCTTTGTTCTCAAAATAGCTTTTTTGTTAATTGTTAATTAACTATTGGATAGTAAGACATGTAATAAACGCACTAGAAGCAGTAAAAGTTAACATTAACGAACGGTCCGCGCGCGAGAGGAATGCCACCGGGCCCGTGCGATTACTTGAATGTTTCAAATTCGGTTAAAAAATCTTGCGCGCTGCCGCGTTCACGCGCTTGCGCGCCGATACGTACAAAACTTAATTAACAATTGTAAAAAAAAGTATTGTTATTATTTAAACAAGCATTTTTTAAGCAAATAATATGCAAAATTGTTAGAACACACATAACAGTAGCCCAGAAACATAAAAGTGGCTCTTAATCATGGTAAAAATCAAAGATTCAAAATGATTAAAAAAATTACATCATTACATCACATGTGCTAACTAAAACGGCGCCCCGGAACAGAATAAGCGGGACTTGATTGCAAATAACTTATAATAAACAGTATAAATAGCGTTTTACTCGTTTTTTCTCATGATTGGCCGATCGGTAAATGTCTTTCAAGCCCACCAACCGCAATAAAAGTGGTAGAAAATTCAAGAATGCTTAATTTTCACAGTAGAAGTTTAGACACAATTGATTCTCGTAATTATACTCAAAACTGCTTAACAAATGACAATGAAAATCCCTTGGATCAGATCGGCACTTCTAGGAGGTAAGAAAATTTTGCTGAATCGTTTTCTTTCATCATTGGATTATAGATTTATTTAAAGTTAGTTTAAATTATGAAATCCTGCTTGGTATTGGAAATGGTATTGTAATTTTGGTACATATTTCTTATAGGGTTGGAATTTGAACAATATCCAAAATTCTAAAGGTTATAATACCAACTAGGATTTCAGAACTCGGTAACAATACATCCATAATTTCATAATGTAACAGGAGAATGCAGTAAAATGTTATAACCTTCTAGAAGTCCCGATCTGAATTCAATGTTTTTTTTTTGTTAATCATCAGTTTATGGATTAATTACGGGAATCATAAGTGTATCCAAGCCATTTAATTTATAATTACGACACTTTTGAATTTCCTATTAAAAATATATGTGACATATTTCCATATTTAACAAAGTACCTTGCTTGTGGCAGCTTTACAATTTTAAGAAAAATATAACATCCTATATAGAATAACAAGAAAGTAGTAACATTTTTTAGAGTTTAAGGGCAAGAAGGATTTATAGAGACAGTGAACACACTGTATCCTATATGTTTATTTAGAAATGCAATACATTTTGTGACTATATCTACTTTAGAGTAGATATATAAATATGTAATATAAAGATGCTAAGTTGAAGTTAATATTCGTTCAAATTTTAATGTAAGCCTTTCTACCATGTATGCTTCAGTCAGGAAACATTTGATAATTTCGCCGTGCGTTATTCATCGTAAAACGCCTACCCGTAGTAAAATAACGCAAAGTCAACGAAAATTTGACAATCTGACCGCCTTTTATGAAATGCCTAACCGTTTTATAAACAACGGTAATATAATATTAAACCAGCATGTCTTCTAGCAGACGTCTGAGAAAATAATCCAACATTGTTGATGAGAAAATATAAAAAAGTAACTTTCCTTTTAAATTAGCTGCAATTGTAATTATGAAGTGGGAAAGTGTCATACTTCATACTTATTATTAAAAATGTTAGTCGGTTTTTCTAGTTGAATAGTTGCTAAGAAAATGATATAAATGAATGTAATATTTTAAATATAGAAGGCGCCGTTTAATTCGATTGCCAAACTTCTTCAGGGTGTTTTTTTGGTTAATATTAACACTGCTATAGATCAATTCCGACTACTTTGGAAAATACAGCAATTTGAAGATGACCTGATAATCAGTTGAAATATCAATACCAAATTCGGTACATTTTTGGCTGTTGATGACTTACATACATCTAAGCACTAGTGAAAAGCCTGACTTACCGCTGCATCTGGAGCATGTGCATTTGGGGTAGTTGGTGGTGCGGGTCGAGAAGGGAATCCCTGATGCGGTTGATGTTGGGGGCTAGGGGGCATTCCAGGGCCGGGCCCAGGAGAATGACTCGGAGGTTGTGGTGACGGCTGGCTCACAGGCACCGATGAATTCTGCTGGCCTGGACTGCCTGGCCCGTGTTGTCCAGGACCTGATGGGCCGCCAGGCCAACCCGATCGACTCTCCCCGTAACTAGGACTAGGCGAGGAACCACCTCCGTAAGCCGGTGACAACTGGAACGAAAGAGAAAAAATTTTTATTTTATTTAAAAGTACACTGCATAATTACAAGCCAAGACATACAAAAAATACAAAAACGAGATTGGAAAAAATGGAATACTGAATATTATACGGCATATCTATGTTAATAAACAGTTTATACCGGGTGTCCCTTTTAAAAAAATACACGTGAATATCTCTTAAGGGATTAATGAACAAATTTTTCATATAAAAGTTGAAGGGTTTTGAGGGGGACATCTAATGGTGAGCTTGACCATGACCTTCAAGGTCATTTCAAGGTCAAGTAGATTTTTTCAAATGGAAACATATTTTTGACACTAGAAATGAAAAGAGCAGAAAATTTTACACCCGACTATGACCTTGATCATGACCTTCAAGGTCATTTTAGTTTTATTTGTAAAATTCTACTTTTGAGACCAGAAATGAGAAGAGCGGGCCATTTCACGTCCATCTATAACATTGACCTTCGCGGTCTTTTCAAGGTCAAGTTAATTTTTCAAATAAAACCGGTATCTTTCAGACCAAAATAGAAAGTGCGGAGAATTTTGCTTCCGGATATAACCTTAATCATGACCATAAGTTTCAAAAGTCATTTGAAGATCATTCTCGTATTTTGCAGGCAAAACTTTAACCTTGTTCATATTTATCTTTTGATACGTGGGGCTCGCCATAATTTTCCAGAATACCCATTAACCCTTTGCGGCAAGCATTTTTTATTCAAATGTTTTTGAACTCAGACTAGCTCAGAATTTAGTAATAGTTAAATCCGATACGGCGAATCCAATATGTCGAATACTCGGCTCGACCTTGAGTTTTAACGTAGGTTGAAGCGTTTTCAAAGTGTTAATTAAATTGGATTTGAATATTTTCAAATTCTAATTTCATATTCGCGATCAGCGCCCTCAAAATTCACCGAGTACACTATTCGGCAAGACGGAAATGAATTTTGCAACAAAAAATTTAAATGACCTTCAAATGCCCTTGAAGGTCATGGTCAAGGTCATAGTCGGATGTAAAATGTTCTGCTCTTTTCATTTCTGGTGTCAAAAATGTTTCCATTTGAAAAAATCAAATTGACCTTGAAGGTCCTGGTCAAGGTCACCATTAGATGTTCTCCTCAAAACCCTACAACTTTTATTTGAAAAATATTTTCATTAAGCCCTTAAGAGATATTCACGCGTAGGTATTTTTTTATACCTTCAAGGTAATATTAAATAAACCTTTTTTTTAAATCTACCTCAGGAGGATCGGGTGCTAAGAAAAAATGCAATTTCGTATTATTGCGATAAACTATTATTGTAACGCGAAATCAAAATCTGTGAATTATTCTCAAATTATTTTCCAATTTATTTTTGTTTTCAATTAATGCCAAAAATTTGAATATTTAACATAGGTACCTTATAGGAAATGCTATGATGCATACCCTTACAATCGAATTATGGGTGAAAAAATGTAAATGGTAAAACGAAATAAATATAGACATTTACCTGAATCATTAATTAGTAGATGAGAGAAAAAAAAGTAGGTTACCGTATATTTCACAGAGAAATAAACTACCTTTCACTAGATTAAAAAAAAATGTTGCAACTACAGCTTTCAGTACAATGTGGCCAGTGACGCAGGAATTTTCCTCCTGCCACCCCTAAAAAAATAAAACTTTCTACCTCAATGATTAATTTTTTTGGTCTTTAGAATTTAAACGAATACATTGTGTTTAATTAAAATTGTAATGGCAACAAATATTTAAGTTTAATTTTGTTTGTAAAATTAAAATTAATTAAGATTTAATTTAGATTTATCCAACTGTGATGCACATGGGCATTATTTTTAAGTCTGCATATGTACCTTCATGTTTATACTAAAGCTATCATCGAGAGTGCCACATTCACGTCAGCATGACACATCTGTCACTAATCACTAATCAGCTTCTTAGCATAGATGTAATATTGCCACATTTAGATGTTGCCGTAAACAATGCCGTTACAACCTACAGAGAGGCCAAATTCAACATACTTTTACGGGTTTCTCGTTTTTCCCGGGATAAACAAGAAGTAGGTAAGGGCGTGATTTTCTAGAAAAATTTAATGGCGAACACTGCATTGCTGAAGTTGTGTTTATTTAAAGGTTCCTTAAGTTTTTCGCTTCAAAATTCACCGATGTTTCGAAGCCACCTATCAAAACGCTCGAAACCCATATTACTCATACGAATATATCTAACGCAGACTACAACAACACTCCTAAGTAGCTCTGCAAGCCGTAATAGAATGTTGGACGAACTTTCCAAAGTTCACGGATGTTTCGAAATTCTGCTCGAAGCTCCCAAGACGGTACCAACGGTCTTCTACCCTCCCAAACGCCGTTCAACACAACAACTGGAGACACCCAGACGAACGCCGCACCATTCAAATATCACTAAACTACAATTGAAAAAAATCACCGTCGAGCCACCACGACGATATCGAACAGGCGCAGCCACCCCCACGGCGGCGTCGGACGATGACCACGTTCTATGCCAAAGCCTCCCTGAGACCGCCGACGAGAGACGAGAGAAATAAAAAATTTCAAATTTCATCCCACTTTTCAAAGTTTCAAGAGGATGGATCGACACCAAAAGCCGTCTCCCGCAATATCTCCGGGTCGGAATTAAATCTGTCTAGTTTCAGATAACCAACTACTACCGAGCGACCAAACCACGCAAACGTCGCGAGCCAAAATGAGCAGCAATCAAATAAAGCAAGCAGAATTCAAATAAACGATATATGCATATTTGCCTTATTCTCGAGTTATTTTTTTTTCTACAAAAAATACCAAATATGTCTAAATGCTTCAGCACATGCACTCCAAGGAGTCAGTACATAGTGAACTAAAGACAGTTATTTTCAGATACTTACTATATCAGACCCGAACCAAGTGCATGGTAACACAAAAGAGCAGGTGTCTAACGCACTGGCTGGCACCGGAAGTGAAGATAGATCCTGGACATTACGATCCTTCCCGTCCCATCATGATGGTGCTTAGGGCAGATTCTAGGTCTCAACCGCCAAGATCGAACCAGGACGAGGCGCAACCGCGTCGTGGCGCCCAACGTAGGACCAGTACCGCGGAAGAGACCAATAACAATCAGCGACACGGCGCCAAACGTTGGGCTATGTTGCTGAACAAAACTGAGACTAGAGAAAATCCACATTTTCTTTATGTGTTTGGGCAGGAATTATCGACGATTGCTTAGGGAATTTTATTCCGATTTTTTTATTGGCTCAAATGATGCATAAACTATTCAAAAATGATAATCAAAAACTATTTTGGGGGACAAGCTTTGATAAACAAGCTTATTCTCCGAGACGACCCTGAGTGCTTCGAAACATTTGAAAGGGCCGCTCTGTTGCGAGCAGCATTTTAAGTATATTATACAGTATATTGGTGGTTTTGGCCGGTACAAGTCAGTTAAACTTCCTCGAATCTTCCAAAGAAAAATTCGTGTAGATTAAGAAAAAAATGTTTTTCTTTCCTCAGGTTGTGCTCGGAGCCACGCCGCTTTCCTCCTCTGAAAAATATTCGTTCGTTACCTAGTGCACCATTTTCTACCTTAAATATAAATATTTTTGTACATGTTAATACACATTAAATAATATCTCAAAACTCTATTTTCATTGCTTAGTAATTGAGAAAAAAAAAACAAAAATAGCTTCGTTTTTTCAATGCGCCTTGGTAGTATGTATAACCCCCTTAATTGCACTGTTCATATTGCCAAATCGAATGAATGGTTTTCAGTATCTCCAATTTCCTCGAAATGTTCTGCTATGACTTCTTGAAGCTCTTAGCTCTTTGACAGCATATATAGTTCTTGCACGATGGTCTCATTTTCTACAAACTGTGGATTGAAAAAGGAGGAGCATGGATACCGTGGTCTCTCGACTTAAACCCTCTTTTTTTACTGACTTTTAAAAAGTGAAATATATCGTACTGAAGCCGAAACTATTAATGATTTACGTCAACCTATGCTGCTGCAAATAATTTACGACTGACTGCAAGACAAGCGAGAAATAAGAACATTTGCAGTGAACCAGTCAAAATAGGATCGGACGTGCCCAAATGTGTTTACGAGTTTACTACCCACCAAACCCTATATTACTATGCTCGACAAGGAGCGGTATATCCAAATATGCAAAAATATACAGGGTGTTCTATTTAAATTACCAAAGTTAACAGCCGCGGCCATTTCGGTTGGACTTCATTTGTTTTTCTACTACCATTTTCGTAAACTTCATAAAAAATTGTGCAACTTTTGCATTTCATATTTTTTTTATAATTCTAAAAATAAAAAAGTTAATGGGGCGGCGTCAAAATATAGTGAATCGCCCTGTACATTATATTTTATATTTTTTTTGTATAAGTAGTAAATCGCCCTGTAGGTACATTGTTGACATTCTTGACAGCATGGAATCGATTACAGTTTTAACAAGATAATATTTACCCTCAAAGGTCACACTTGGGGTGGGCTACCTTAAAGGTAGCTAGTGCGAATTGGGATTTTGCCAACTTTAAACCTATATGTCTTCTTTATTTGTTAACGAAAACAAACGTATTTATTATAGCAAAACTGGGGTAAAATTTTCAGAGATAAATGGCTACAGAAAAAGTAAAAGAAAAGGATTTTGAAGTTCAAAGTCTATATTTCTCAAAAAAAAAATACCCCATACTTACTGATAAAATGATATCGATTTTTCACAGTATCTCGAATATAGGCATTTTTTGAAATTGTGATTTTTGGCTCATTTTCTGTAAATTGATGTTTATTTTGCATAAAAATATTAATTTAAACAATATTAACCATAACTATTGACAAATAAACCATTAATAAAAATTAAACTATTAATGAAAAAAATATTTAAATTAATTATTTGAATTATGAATATGAATTTGAATTATTAACAATAACTACATAAACAATGTTCTAGTCTGTTCGACATGTAAAATGAGGTGAAAAAAATCGG